TCTCATTGTTGCTCAATATGATTTCATGATCTGCTGAATGACGGTTACAGGGCTTGCTACGACTCAGTGACCTGTTTTCCATCGATATTAAAAAAGGACACGAAGTATAAAAGATTTACAACTCTGAAAAGTATTTTGTTTTGCTTCTTGATAACTTTTGCTATCATCTACTTTAAAACAATGATGTGAGATTACAAAGTAAGCTGCCTCAGCACCTTAATTGATAGAAAATAACCTTCTCGGGGCTAACTAATCGCCTGTGTGTTTTGTCTAGGTGTTGAGGGAAAGCTAAGAGAATGAAGGCTCTAAGTCCCCAGAGGAAGCATGATATGGCGGAGCAGAGCTGGTGCTGAAGTGTTCTCTCTGATGGCTCTATGGGAGTGGATAGCCCTGAGTCTTCATTGCTGGGTTTTAGCGGTTGCTGCTGTTTCGGATCAGCATGCCACAAGCCCCTTCGACTGGCTCCTCTCTGATAAGGGACCCTTCCATCGCTCACAGGAATACACAGATTTTGTGGACAGAAGCCGGCAGGGATTTAGCACAAGATACAAGATATACAGGTATGGAGCAAAGGGAAGGCAATTGCAGAGGTGTTCTTGAAGGCTGTGTGTACGTGAGTTTTTCCAAGGAAAAGTTTCCGTTGGGAAGGGTAACTGTTACCTTGCGCTGTGGTGATGTTTTCTTGCTACTTACAAGTATTTCTTATAGAGGCAACATTATAGGAGAAATGTAGATGATGGTGACCACTTGTGTATTACTACCAAATTTTGCAGTGCTGCCTTGCCATTAAAGTAAATGCCAGCATATTTGAGGCTTTCTTCTTTTAAAATGAATCTTCTTGAATTGCTTTTCCTTTTTACTGTATACTATGCTGTACTAATTATACCTAAATGCAAGTGGTATCTTCTACTAGTCACTGAGCAGCTGGGTCACCCCTTCCTTTTTGACCTGAAAAATAATTGTATTCAGAACCTGAAGAAAACAGCATTGGAATAAAAAGAAATGGCAGAGGAATTGGACAATGTTATTATGACCAAAACTGGAGATTTAAATATATGACTTTATCCTACAATACCTAAATAACTTACACAAAAGGAGTCATGTATTAAATCCAACCCAGACTGCCCGTCCACCTAAGGCACAGGGAATCGAGTATACAAGTGGTTGCCTGAATGGATGACACTCTATCGGTTTATGCCATAAAACATGTTTTATGCAAAGTTATTATGCTGGTTTGTTTCTTAATGACCAAAGATTACAATGTGAAGTTATCAGAGGAGCATTCATGTAGGCACAATTATTTTAGTTTTCAATGTTTGTGTATAGGTATCTATGTAGACACTATTATATAAACATTTTATTTTATGTTGTATGTGCAGCAGAGGGCACTGTGTTTCAGGTCTGTATGGAGTCTTTGTACAGTGTTGTGAAAAAATTATAAATCTTACAGCAGTGGATATTTGCAGAAGGCGGTGCGTGTACTAAACAAGCTCCATGAATTATCACACAATTATTGTGCAGTCTTTTAGTCCAGGCAGCCAAAGCATTGTCATGAGTCTAAAGAAAAGAGTCTAATTTTTCTTTAAAAATGAAATGACAAATACTAAAGATTTTCTTTCTAAATGCAGCAGAACTAGTCAATAGATTATGAGTCCTGATTCATTCATTTTATATGTTTGTTGGTTTAGCCAGCTGCTCTTCACAGATTCCGTGAAGTTACTTGACTCTAAGATTGTAAGAATGTCTTACATTCCAGCATTCTGCAAGAGGATTTTTAACAGCCTGTCGAACAAACTGATGTCAGAGCATGTCTTCATGATCTATTGGCATTTGCAGCTCGAGGTCTGAGGTGTTGTCTTACCTGTGATCATTGTGGTTTGGCTTATTGGTCCATCAGCTCTCAGTTGCAAACATAGCTTGACATGATTTTAGAGGTTCTGGGCTGAATGCAAGGGCATTATTGGGATCACAGTAGTGAAACATAATGAAAGAATAACATATTGAGGTATGTTTGCAAGGCTCATGTATTCTGTTTAGTTTTATTGAACACTAGTTTTAAAGAGTTTTATTAGCCTTGTGCTCATCATTCTTCCTATGTCTGTACCTCTGTGGTTGAATATGCATATGTGGACATTAAACCTGCTTATAAGTAAATGGTTGAGTATTCCCACTTACATCAGAGCCAGACTATCCGTGCTTGTGAAACCTTTTAAACAGTGTATTGAATCTGTTGTAATCTCTGAGAGTTGTGGAGAGGTGGACCTGTTCATTGGGTTCCTTTAGTCTTGGTTTAAGTGAGGTATTTCACATATCTAATTTATACTTCCTTAAATTTCAGAGAATACTGTCTATGTATCCATCTGATATAATAAATCCAGGTCTATGCTCATAAGTTAACATTATTTTTGAAAGGTTAGACTTCCAAATCCAGATATTAGAATAGCTATTTTTTGTTGTTCTAGTTTTTATTTTTCCTAGATGCTACAAAAATAATTGCTGGAGACCTTATCTTTCATATATGGTGATCCTAAAACAAAAAAAAGTTGTGACTATTTCAGGCTTATGGATGGGAAAATGCTGTTTTTCCGTGTTTACGTACTTGATTTATCATTTGAAAAGGCCACGTAATTTTCAAAAGTGATCAGCCAAATTCTGCTTGTACTTGGTGTCCCAGTCACGAAGTCTTCCATGTGGCACATTGCATTGACGTAGTTTCTGAAATGCATTAGTTCTGAATGTAAAGCATATTAAGCCTGTTAAAATAATTAGGTCAAACCTCTTTCAGTTGTCTTATTTCATCTCCTCGGAAACAATATATTTTCCTTTTCAGCTTAGTTATAAAACGGCAAGATCAGAATCATCAAAGATTACTAGGATCATAGATAGAAGTAACATTGTTTCTAAACATATATTTAAGAAAATATGCATTTTTATTGACTAATAGGGCTTATATTTATATTTAATTAATGTGTATATAAAGTGTTTTCAGGTTGTGCGTTCGAAACTGCATTATTGACTTTACAGATGATTAATTCGTGGGTAGACCGTTGAATTGGAAGATTTAGAATTAGGATGTGACCATGTTATTTTCTAGGTATTAAAAATCAGGATTTCAGCTACCTTTCCCTTTTACCAACAATTAATAACGGAACGCAAGATTGGGGTATCTCAAGTAAGTATTTTCACTTTTAGAAATTGGGCTATGTCTGAAGAAATTTGTTTGATTCTGAAGTGTAGGGCAGGAGTACCAGCCCCTTATCATTTAGAATCTCGCATTTGCAGTTTGTTCTAGAAGCATCCTCAGGCAGGAGCCCCACCCCACCCTGGTGAGGATCCTCTCCCCAGGCGCTGGAAATCCTCTTCCTTTTAATGAGAAGTGATTCACTCTCAGTGATTCACTCTTCAGGCAGTTACCCTGAACCACTGCTGTGAATTCTAAGGTTACAGACCGGCAGTTTGCAATTCCTACAGGAAACCTTTCACATATGTAAATCCTCAAATATGGTGACGCAAAACAAAAGTCTTCTTTCATTTCTCCCACTCCTGCCATGCTGTGGTTAGGCTCATGTGCAAGTCCATAGTAGGACGAGGGTTTTCTTACAGTCTTTCAAACACTGCACAGATGTGCTGTGTTAGTACAACTTAGCTTGCTTTCCGGGGCAGTTTTTCAAAGAGTGGCAGAAATTTGTGTCAGAACAGAAGACAGTGGAGATAAATGTTCTGCCCTGTTGTCTTTGTAGCTATGTTCTATGGAAAAAATAGGATAAGAAGGTGATTTGGAAAGGGCATGAGTCTAGAGAAAGAAGAAAGAGCGGGCCACTTGATACATGACAGGATAGTTAGTGTGTGAGGAAGGGTGTGCTTTTCAATAAATGGCTCTGCAATGAGGGTCCTTTAGAGAAAAGTTGAAATTGGATCCCTTCTTCATTCCATGTACATGTCTATTTTGGAGGCAAGAAAGATCTCAGTATAGTAGACAAAAAAACTGAATATAGAGAAGAAAACACAGGGCAATGTCTTAATGAAATTGGCATTGCTGTGGACTTTCTTTCAGAACACAAGACGTTGAGTATTGGAATACTTATCAATTCAGGTATATTAGTGTTAACACCAGTAACAGCATGGAGGATCTCTTAAACAGAATGTTCAGTAAAGGAAATAACACACACACACATACAAAATTGCCATGGTATATTTTATTTACTTGGAGTTCACAAAACAGGCAGAACTGAATAAGGCTATTTAAAGATGCAGATTAAGCATACTTTGAAAGTCAGAAGAAAAGCAAGGAAATTAATAAGACAAAAGTCAAGGTGGAGGCTATCTGTGGGGGAGGTGAGAAGTCAGATTTTTTAGAGCAAACAGTGAAAGAGCCTCTAATATGATGACAATGAACCATTTCTTTTCTTTTTTTTTAATGATTTATTTTATTTAAAAGGCAGAGTCAGAGAGAGAGAGTGAGGGAGAGAGATCTTCCATCCATTGGTTCACTTCCTGAATGGCCACAGTGGCTGGGGTTGGGCCAGGCAGAAGCCAGGAACCAGGGGCTTCTTCTGGATCTTCCATGTGGGTGCAGGGACCCAAGGATTTGGCCCGTCCGTGGCTGGTTTTCCAGGTGCATTAGCAGGGAGCTGGATGGAAAGTGGAGCAGCTAGGACTCAACTGGCTCCCATGTGGATGCCGACATCACAGACAGTGGCTTAACCTTTTACACCAAAATGATGGTCCCAGTGCTCAATTTCTTAAGCAAGGCGATTGTTACATTGCAGATCTTTGGAGTCTACATAGTGTAGGCAATTATTTCTACAGACTGTATATTTCACAGAATAAAAGTTAAATATTCTGTAAGCTTTGAATTGAAATACTGAATCTACAAATCAAGTAGATTAATTCTTCCTTTTATCTCAGATTTGATATGTACTATGAATTTATTAAGCCTTCTTTAATTCTAAACAAATGTTTAGTTGTTATGAACAATACTTACCTTATTATGTTTAATATTTATAATTAAATTCATTTATGTAGAAAATTACATTTTTGCTTTCTGTTTACTAAGATGTTCCCTTATATTTTATATGTGACTTTACTATAGCTTTCCATTGTTGATAATGCTGGTATTCAGAGATTTTAAATAGCAGACAAGAGCAAAACAAAAAAACACATTAAAGTCCATACTAGCATGCTTACAAAATTCATGGAAAATGGAATTGAAACACAAGTTTGTTTTGGAGCAAAAAATGTACAAATCCATGTTTTTTCATAATAAGCATTTTCCATGAATTTTTGAAGTCTCTACCTATAATGAAATTTAAATCCAGCAATCATCTTATCATAATTGCAAAAATCACAAAACAAAACCCCTAGTGGTGGTAGATAGTATCTTTTGAATGAACTATCTTGATATTAAAATAAATCCATTGCTCCAATTATCTTCCTCCCAATGTACTAATGTCTTGGTCCATTTTGCTAGGTAAATATGCCATTGTGACATCAGCAAGCCTAATGCACTCAGAGGCTTGCATAGTGTTTGTGTGTGGGGGCGTGGATCTAAAATCACACTGTGAAGAAGTCCAGTCTGGACTAATGAAGGAGAAGAGGCCACATGGAGGAAAGAGCATGGCAGGGGACATCTCTGGGTCCAGCCTACAACACTCGGTAATAACCCTCAGACCATTTTAGAGTGAGCACATTTGAGGGTATCCACCCGTGGCTGGACTGATAGAAAACTCAAACCACCTGAGTGACACTAGACAATTCTAGAATAAGAATGAGTTGGCTGACCCCAGCCTCTGTGGCACCTTGACAGAAATCAGGAACAAAAGCACAAGTGATGTTAAGCGTCTAAGTTTTGAGGTGGTTTTCTGTGGAACACGTGTAACGGATACAATCATTTTTCATTCAGCAGGTCTTTCTGGCTATCATAAGTGCTAAGAAATGATAAAGATGATGTCATTGGTAGAGAACATCTTAAAATATGCACTTTTTAAAATAACGAAACTGTTGGGATTCTTCTTCAAAACGTCTTCTAAATAGCAATTCCTGACATAATCACTCCACAGATTTCCTGCTAAACTACTATGGATCCACAGGAGAGAAAATGAAAACTTGTAACAGCATAGAAAATTATCATCAATATATAAATTTCTGCCAGTTTTTGGAGGCATTTTGGCCATAAGAAGGTTCAATGATTAGTAAAATAGTTGCACACTTAAGGTGAAGCCACAGTCTGGGCGAAGGTCCACTTGCCTTAAATAGAGGTGGGAGCTGCATCATTACCAAGATCTCTCTACTGAGAAATCCAGGGTTGGCACCTGGTAGGAGGTGTGCAGCCTTCTCTCCAGAGTGGGACCCTACTTTGTGATGTAAGCACAGTGCAAGTGCTGAGTCTCCCCCACTGTCTTTGGAGATGTGCTTGCGAGCTATATAGGAGAATGAGTTCGCAAACAAGGATGCCTTGTGCAATATTTGGGACATACTTATACCTAAAACTCATTTGAGTTTATTAAAATTCTAATTTAACTGTTTGCTGGGTGTTTTTATTTGTGTTTGCTAAATCTGGGAACCTTGCAGACAAACAGATATGTAATGATGTTGATGCTTCTCTCTCAGAGGTAAACTGTTTGGGACAGGATGAGGAAGGGCCTTGAATGCAGGCAGTGTAGTAAAGTATCTGATGGACTTTCTCATTCAGATTGTCAAGAAATGAATGTCAGAGTGCATCCTGCCCTAGCTATGCACTGACCGTTAAGCCCAAACACGACACACACTGAGTGAATGGGGAAAAGTGACACAGGCACTCTGTCTCTAGGTCACCTGGCAATTCCAGGTGCTGATAGAGCCCTCTTACTCGTACATGAAATAAGTAAAACAGTTAGAGGACTTTTGGACTTGCAGTGTGTGAGAAGGGACCATCGTGTAGTGGGGAGATCCTACCAAAGGAAGAAGGAACAACTTTTTCTGAACAGTAGAACAACAGAAATAAATGCTTACCTTAGAGATTCAGTGGAAGAGATGGCCTCTTGATAACTTCTAGCCCCACCTCTGCCCAGGTGTGCACAAACATGAGCACATCTGTGCTCTTGGTATCCGTAATAAATCTTTTTGCAGGAAAATGGGACTGTAGACACAGAGGAGATGACAGCAGGAAAAGTAGCTAGAGAAAAAAAAAAAGAGATTGAAGAAGTTAATGTTGCAAATAAAGTGTAGCAGCAGAAATAAAATTCTCACTAACATCTGTTACACACAGTTGAAAATTAATGAAATTCAATGGAAATATTAAAATATGATTTTTGGAAGAGACAATATTTAATATAAAAGAGGGTGATTATGTTAAAATAACGAGTCTATATGTGCAATCGATGAAGAGTAAATAACTAAAAGGGGCTTGATAAAGATTAAATTAAACCTTAAGAAATTAACCAGAGACAAGCTGCAAATTTATTAATATATCCAATTCCTACCCCAAAAATGTTACTGCCAACTTTAAGGGTAACAACTTTTAGATACAAAAATCATCATCTGTAGCTTAAAATTTTGTGTTGCATAAAAATAAACATATAAAAAGTCTCAAATAATAAATAGAAACAAAAGCTTGAAAAAAGGTAACTTCAGATAAGCCAAAATTTTGTTATATAATATAAATATTTCAAGATCTAAAAATAATGAATCAAATATCTATTATATTACTTACAGAATAGTCACCATAAATAAAATTACTTTTTTTCCTTACAAAAATGTATAGGTAATGAATTCCCTTAAATAATATATAGTAGTGAATAAGGAATAGCATATTATAGTAACTCTCATGGAAATTGGAAGGCATACTTTTCGCATACCACTTTAGCATTCTTACCCTTTATGGATGAAACTGTCCAGGAAAAAATAGTGCAGAATGATCAGAGAGAGGTCATTTGAGTATGGAATTTAGCACAGTTGTACCACTGTTGTAGAGTATTATGCACTAAACATGCAATATTCTTCTCTAAACAAGTATACCTGGAATATTTGAATAATTTGATTTTTTATCTCTTACAAAGAAAATTCTCAACACACAACAAATTCTATATATCTCTTTATTTTAGAATTTCTCAAAACCTTTTTACATAGACTTAAACATGTATTCAGAATAGAAATTTAAACAAAGTAGTGCAGTTATTTGTTCATCAAATTGAAAATTGAGAGTCTTAATGGAAATGAGTATAGTATTAATGATTTACACACAATGAATTTTTCACACAGTTTCAAAGAAAAGCAAGCAAGCAAAATTAAAAAAAACCCAAAAATTAGAGAATAAGGACTCAAATTATTTTGTTAGAATCTTTTATACGCATGTACAGTAAAACGACTACAAGTAGTATATCTAAACGTTGGGTTATCTCTGGTGGGAAGTTTTAGAAATGACTCCTGATTTTCAAAGATTGAATATAATTATTATGATCACACAACATAATAGCTGTCATTGAAAACACTGGGATGAGGCATAAGTTATTTGAAATAACACTTCATAAAAATTAACAATTAAATTTTGACAGTCTGCCAGGATTATTGAAAGTTAAAAGCAAAATTTTGAAAAGTGAAGTATATTCTCTTATGGGACCTTAGCACTGACTTTTTAAAAATAATTAAAATAGAACAACATACCAGGAACAGAAATTATAAAATTAATCAGATGAGTTTCAGGGACTATTCCTGTAAGTATATAGACAATAGAGAATGGAAAGGGCAGGAGATGAAATTAAACACTGTGTTTTCATTATGTAACTAGGGCTCTCACATATCATGTATTTAGCCCTCCAAACTGCCTTAATAATTTTTGTCTTAAAAATTAAAAAAAAACAAAACTTGAGGGTTCTTTGGTTTGCTCTTCTTGTCACTGCATAGCTCCAACACTGTTAACACTGCACTGAAACACCTGCCGCCTCTTCTGAGCTATGCATGCCCTGACGGGACTTTCCATCTTCTGTCCTCCTGTCCATTCACGTTGTTAGGGCCAGTGAGGGGCTCACACTTCACAGACATCAGTTCTCATTTGCAGATGCTTGGTATTCAGCAGTGCCCACCTCCCGGAAAATGTCCCACTCTGACCGTGGGAGCCGTGAGTGGATTATTTTCTGTCTCTGCCACACATTCACCGTGTGAGCTGAGACTTAGCAGTTGAGTTCTGATGTTTCAGTATCCTCGTTTGCAAAATTGAGGACGGGCAGCAGCTCTACGAAGCTTCGAGCTGTGAAGCTCAAAGCTTCAATTCCTAAAAGCTAAATGGGAATATATCACAAACAGATAAGCTAATTCTTAACAACTGTACTTTCTGGTATGGGCAAAACTCACATATAAATAATTCTTTTAGAATAATATCATAGAAGTTTTTGTATTCCTGTTTTCATGTTCATATGTTCATATGTGAACATAAATTGTGTAATTAATTCTCTTTCCCCCAGCATTTCAATTTTTTTGTATTTCTTATATATTTTACTTTAGTGAGAAAATGCTTTATCTTCTCCTAGTTAATTTATTGTCTGTAAATCATGTTAGTCTGTAATTGCATCTTAAAGTATGGTGAAAAATTAAGGAGATTAGTCTAGTTAGTGATTTTACACTCAAAATCCAAAATTATTGGAAAGTAGTTTTTAACAAAGTTGTTGTTTCATATCTAATTTTCTATTTAAACCAGGAAGTAAAAGTTAAATTTTATAATTAGTTCTTCTTCACAATTGATATGTGTATATGAATTCATACGTTAGACATCCTTCACTTAACATTGGAAAATTTTAGTAAGGAATGATCACCCAGTAGTTTAGGAATTAAAATCATTTTCAGAATAGCCATTTCTTTTTTTATTTATTTTTTATTTTTTTGACAGGTAGAGTTAGACAGTGAGAGAGACAGAGAGAAAGGTCTTCCTTCTGTTGGTTCACCCGCCAAATGGCCGCTATGGCCGGCGCGCTGCTCAGATCCGAAGCCAGGAGCCAGATGCTTCCTCCTGGTCTCCCATGGGGTGCAGGGCCCAAGCACTTGGGCCATCCTCCACTGCCTTCCCGGGCCACAGCAGAGAGCTGGACTGGACGAGGAGCAACTGGGACAGAATCTGGTGCCCCAGCTGGGACTAGAACCCCAGGGTGCTGGTGCTGCAGGCAGAGGATTAGCCTAGTGAGCCGCAGTGCTGGCCAGAACAGCCATTTCTTAATACGGATTGTATTAATCTCTTGATTATAACTTAGGAAAGATGTGCCTTTGTAATAATTAATAGAATTTTAACAATTTTTAGTTCCAAGGCGTATTCATGTTTGTTCCTATTAAAATGAGAAAATAAACAAAACTGCTAGTTAACACAATCATGTACAGAGAGGAAATAACAATTATGATTTTTTTGGAAGTTGACCAGATATTTTATTTGATTATGTTTCTCTGCCTAGTTCCATCTCACCAAGCCTCCTCATTCTTCATTCTTCATTCTCTGTCATTATCTCTGTAGTTAAAATTACTGCTGTAGTTTTCCTTTGTTACCACTGTTCTGAGACTTTTGAATTGTACTTTTTAATGGGCACTATTATAAAAATTCAGAGTTTATAAGTGGAGGAAAAAACCTGCGTAATAATACTTGTTATGGGGCTTCTTTTCCTTGTATGTGTGTCTGTTTGAATGGACTCTAATGAGAA